TATATTTATAATTTATTTTTATCTCATAAAATTTTATAAGTTAATATCATAGTATAAAAACATAAGTTGATCCCTATCAATATCAACCACATAGGATATTATACAAAAGGGGTAAAGTAACATGCGTTCTAGTCTTAATTAGCATTAAATCCCGAATTCAATTCTAAACAATCATAGAATTGGGTTTGTCTGCTAGTACAAATGGCATTATTCTTCTGGTTTTATATATTGATATTACGGAAAACAAGGGGATAATCACTGTTTGATCCCATACTTAAAACTGTGTTTCAGTCAACAAGTTCATTAATTAATCCAACAGTGTTCAACTGGGGATTAAAATAAAAATAAAACAAAATCGTAATCTCTAATGCAAATTACCGTCTAATCTACGTCGTTTCCAATCTGCCAGTAACACAATTACACAATTAATTATTTCATCAAATGCCAATAATATATCACACGTGAATCACAAAACAAAGGAAATCAATATAATAATTGCTTAATGCCAAAAATATTTTTTGTTCAATGCTATAATTGAATTTGAAAATATTATACATTTTAGTATTTACAGGAGAGACGTGATTAGGGATGATAATTTGATTTGAATTTATAGATTAAATTTAAATTCAGGGTGGAAATTTCTGACCCAACATCGAATAATAATATATTTAAAGATAATTCATATGATATACCTATCTATAACCTTTTTAATTATATATGTATATATTTGTGTCTTGCCACGTCAATGTAAATTTTTATCTTAAAATTTGAATTGAGTTTTAAGTTGAATAAGATATATTTTTTTAGTAAGATCGGGTGAAAATATATACTTTCAAATCAGGTTGAGTGAAGGATATGTTTTTCGAGTTAGACCGAATAAAAGAATATATATTTTATGTCAGATCGAATAAAATTATTTTTTAAGTCAGATTCAGATTAATCGAAATCTTAGCCCAAGCTATTGTCATCCCTTACGTGAGAATACATTCAGATGATAATGTAGCGTTTTTATTATATGTCATAACTTTATTGATTGTTAAAAATATTAAGTGTATTATAAATATAGTTATGTAATAAATTTAATAATTAAATTATTAATATTTAGAGAGAGTCGGAAATAAGCAGACAGAGCATATGAGAAAGACAGCTTCACCGAGAAGCCAGTGGCCAGCCTTTGTGGACTAATCAGATCAGACATCATCATATATATGTTCCTTTATAATATAATATAATATAATATAACATAACATAACATAACATAACATAACATAACATAACATAACATAACATAACATAACATAACATAACATAACATAACATAATATAATATAATTATAATATAATATAACATAATATAATATAATATAATATAATATAATATAATATGTCAAAGACCACTTAGAAATACAATATATTCAATTTGGTCCTGGTTTCAAGGCACTAGGCAAAATCCGTGTGTGAAGTGGATGCAACTTTTGGCATATCATTCGAATAATATACCATTAAGTATCTAAATACAATTTTTTTTTCATTTCGTACGAGAAGTACAATATTACTACTAGGGATGGGTATAGGTGAGGTGGGTCGGGTTTTTGGTTCACTCGACTCGAGAATAAGGAGTCATCTACAAAAAATCCGACCAAAATAAGTTTTCACATGACCCGACCCGATATATAACTTAAAAATTCAATTCGATCCGACCTAAAATAAAAAAAAAATTTATTTAATAAAAACTATTAAAATCGGACCGGATCGGTCGGTTCGACCGGTTGAACCGTGAACCGATGGCCTGTTCGGTCCGGTTAACTCACAAAAACGGATTAGCACAGAACCGGTAAAGAACCGAAAGAACCGGCTGAAAACCGGGAAAATCGGGATGAACCGGCTAAAAACCGGCAAAACCAGTTTGAACCGCCGGTTTACTTTTTTTCTTTAAAAAAAAAATAAACCAAACAACGTCGTTTGTTCAACGAGCCAAGTCAAATTCGAGTATTACTGAGCTCGACTCGAACTCAAAAACTTTAAAAGTAAGCTCAACTCGACTCAAAAACTCACGAGCTAAAAATTATCAACTCGAAATATAATATTAAAACTTGAAATCGAAAAGGCTCGAACTCAAAAAAAAATTAGAAGTTCGATTGAAGCCTAAAATTTGAGCTCAATTGAAGCGAAAGAATAGTTCGCTTTGTGCTCACCAAAAGACTCCATGATTTTGAATGTCAAATTACCTCTATTATTTATAGAAGTAAGTTGGGATGCTCTTCTATGTTTCTTAGCCATGTGGGATTGTTTTGTTCTCATATTTTTACTCTTTAAACTTTTGGGATACTCTTCTATGTTTATTAGCCATGTGAGATTTTTTTTTTAAACAATTAAATCAAATGACATCATTTGTTATGATTTTTTTAAACTCCAATTTTATTTTTTTGATTATAGTTATATAATTATATTTATTATTTAATATGTTTTACCTTAAATATTATGTTGTAGTTGATTTGAATCATTTTGTTTCACTTGATTTTATGGTTTTTCATTTATACATGTTATGACTTGTGATATTTTTATACCTTTTAATATTGTAAACTTAAAAAAAGTGTTACATATATATTAATATTGCTTTGAATATTATGTAAAATTAAAAAATATATATTATTTTATATAAAATCCGATTCAACCGCTGTTGAACCCGGTTGAACCAGTGAACCAGTACCTTCACCGGTTCAATATCCGGTCCGGTTTTGAAAACATTGATAAAAACAGTGACTTAATTGAAAAAATAATATATAGAGGATTATTATTGTAATTATTCCTAAATATATAAGGTAAAATTATTTTTTTCGGGTCGGGTAAAGTATTTTTCACCCTAAAACCGAACCACGACCAGACCCGAATCCGATTTTTTTATATAAAAAAAAACTGACCCGATCGGGTCGGGTCGGAATCCATCGGGTTCAGATCATATGTCCATCTCTAATTTCTACAGATATAACTCAATTCGATAATTTATTTAGCCTAGATCCCATTTAGGAATAATACAAATGGGGCAGTTACACCCTTAAAATTTTAAATATTTTATAATTTAAGTAATATCTTTATATTTTTATCTATTATCTAATTTCGTATTTTTAAGATTTCATAATTTCATGTTTCTTAAATTTCTAATATAAATTCTTAAATTCACATTTCAACATAAGATCATGCATTTATCTCTTATCATATTAACGGCAAAAAGTATATAAACAAACTTCACACCCAATCAACCTATCGTATACAATATTATGTTTTACGCAAGGTATCTAGAATGAAGATATAAAACAATACTAAAACAAAATGGGGTGAGGACTCTCGATCTCGGGATAACTCAATGCTATGAGAGCTACACACTAGCCAATTGATGCTACCACCCCATTTGTTTGGTAGGATACATGGATATTATAAAGGTATTTTTTTTACGCATAAAACATTTTCCCTCATATTTTTAATGTTTAGTTGGAGAAAAACAAATTGTTATATGTAATTCTTTATATTTTTTTGGAAATAATTTGTGGTCTGATTTTTTAAAATTTTCATTTCAAAACATAAATACTTAAAATACTATTATTTTATATATTTAATATTAATATAATATTTTAAAATATATTTATCAAAATTTTAATAATATAATATATTTATTATTATAATATACGCATTTATATTACAATAATATATGATAGTATTATATTTTTATTTAATAATATATAAAAAATATTAATAAATATGTATTAATTTCTTAAAAATAATATTATTGATTTATTAATAATGAATAATATTGTTTATGTGTTTAATATTAATATAATAGTCTAATATTATTTTAATAAAAAATATTCATGTAAATAATAATAAATAAATTATTCTAATATTTTTTAAAATAATAATATTAAGTTTTTATAATAAATAATATTATTTATTATGTTTCATATTTGTAATAAATAATTTCTATAAATTTTATCAACTAGTGAAAAATTTTACACAACACCTTCCAAACTTCGTAAAACGTTTTTCAGAAAATATAATTTATTTTACGAACAAAGTTTTCCATAAAATAATTTTAGTAAAACAAACAAACTCTAAATCATGCATTCAAATCGGTTTTAAAAGTTGATATGATGCAATTTTGAGATTCTAATGTTTATATCTTTTTTTAATCCAACAATCATCAAACTCATACATATTGGGACTTGGGAGTTTATATTCAATATATTGATAATGTATATTTTTATCTATGATTAATTAATTAATCATAAAATGTTGTTATCTTAAATTGAAATTAACTTTTTTTATAATATGTAATTTTATGATTTATTGAGAATATATAAAAGTATTCATTAATTATAATTTTTATTAAAATATTATATTATTCAGAATATACTATCTATATCCAAAGTGTGTGACTATCTCTCCTAATCAGGGATGTTTGTTGTTAGATTAAAATTGAGTCAACGGACTAAATTAAATTAATTTGATTAATCGATGATCAATCAAATATAATTTGACTGGGAATCAATTAATAATTTTTTAAAAATTTAATTATCGATTAATTCAATTTAAAATCAATTAATTAAATTATTTAAATATTTTGTATATAAGCCCAAGATATAATCCATACCCCTTAATTTTAATATCCAAACCAAAGGAAATATTAGAAAGCACTACTAAATACTTAGTTATCTAATAAGAGTTGGTTAAACATTTTTATTAATTCAGTTAATCATAATCACTGCATCTAATAATATCACGCTTCAAAATTCGAACATTATTTATCTTGTAAGCAGTATAATGTATCTTACCGTTACATCCAACCCTTATCTGGAAAAAGTCAATGATTTTTGTTGTTGTTGAAAATGTTACTAATTTGGAGCAAGACATGACAGTAACCATAGCAGGGAGACCAAATTATACCAATTAAAGTACCAAGGATTAAATCTCTAAAGTATGTATAGTACAAGGCCAAAATCACAATATGACCAATTTCGATATTCAATCTAATTACGCACAACCAATGCAAAATCTTGATTCCAAAGTTTAATTAGTCCCATAATTATTCAATGTTTCCAAAATCAGCCATTAAACGAGTTGGTTTTCTATCAAAGATTTGAAGATGATGATGGCATCACATAATCAACAACAATAACACCATTCAAATGATCCCTAACCTTCTGTTCTGTAGGTTCACGTACTCCTCGTTCCCGTCCGCCGCCATTTCTACAACTCCGGAAAAGAAGGCAATTGAGGCGATCGAAAAGCCCTTAGCTCTCCCGGGGGAGAAATTCTCCCCACAAGTGATCTGTTGAACACCGGAGACTCCATCCTTAATCCCTTTAATCACCCCAAGAATATCACTTTTCACATCATCGTCAACATTCTCTTTTAGTTTCAAGAATGTCACTTTGATGGCGGAACCGGAGAGCGGCGACAATGGGACGGGATCATTATCGGCAACCCAATCGACGGCCATGACATCGTTGCAAATGGGGAGGACGTTTTCCTTGACAACACGGACATGATCGGGATGTGCGGAATACGCGCTCAAGCCTTCTTTGGACTTGTATCGGCTATGGAGCATGTGTGTGAAATCGGAGATAGGAGATCTCGTGCGGAAGACGGGACCGACTGTGAGATAGAGGACGGGATCGAGAGATGCCAAGCCGTTGAGGCCGTTGAGCATCGAGTTGACCTTCGTCTGGTCAGTATCATCTTTTACATTGAAAAGCACCACATGCTCAACAATGGACATGGTGATAGAAGATTTCGATGGTTTGGTGGATGAAATAAAGGGTTTTTTGAGGTGTTTGGGAGACGAGAAAGTGCGGGAAAATGGAGAGGAAAATAAAGTGTGGGGTTTCAAAGACAGCATCAAAACGCTACCTGCAAAATGCGAGATCATATAAGGATGAATCTCCATTAAAATACAGATCAGAACATAAAATCGATCAAAATTTCAAAAAATTCCAGAATCCAAAAACAACATTAGCATTAATATACGAGATCATATTGGGATGAATCTCCATAAAAATGCAGCTCATAACATACAATCGATCAAAATTTCAACAAATTCCATTATTCCAGAATCCGAAATCAGCATTAGCATTAATCTCTAAAATATACTTGAAAATCAACCAGAAAATACAAACCCATTTCTGGAAATGAGAAGCTGAGACTAACCTTGCAGACTCTGCTACGGCTTTGCATATTTCTGTGGTTGAATTGCAATGAAAGAGATGGGGATTTGGTTTGGACCATGGGGTCCTGGTTAAGTTGTTGGTGAAGAACACGTGTGGAGTTGGATACATAGCACGTGACATATTTTATCCGCAAATTATTCGATTATTATTATTATCCGAACTCGAATGAATTATTCAAATTTTTTTATCTATTAGATATTCAAAACCAAAAACAAATTTAAATATTTAAATCCGTACAAATCTAAATTCGTCAAAAATTGAATGATCAAGACTCAGATCTTTTTAATAACAAACATGTTGTCTATATAGAAATCCCGAGTCATATTGAAATATTTGTATTTAAATCTGTATAAATAATATTTATTAAGACAATAGATGTATGATAGTGCTTGTTTGTGTTCACTCTAAATCTACACCAAATAAAAATTTTAAATTTCAAATCCATAATAATAAAATTGAAAAAAATAGATCAAATATTCAAATCCATACTTCATAAATTCGAGTAGTAAAGGATTCAATATCCTTTAAGAGCGAATTTGGACTACTAATATAATGGGAAAAAAATTATCATCTAAGAATTGACAGAATTATTTTCTTAAGTAGTTTGATTGCTATAGTTGAAGTTGAACAATACAATATCTTCTGAAAGATGCTTAAACGACACATCTTTTCTCAAACTGTATGTATATTTGAAAGTTTCATGCATGATCATCTTCCTTTGTGCCACCCAAACTATAAAAAAAGATGTATTGTAATATGTGCATTTTCATGAAGACGCCCTTTCTCTCTGTCTTTTTTATCTTACTGTGTGAAGCATCCTATTTGAGAGAATAATTCTAGGAGTAAAACTAAAAGGTAAAGATTGAGCATATTTGATAGTTTTCACTACATCAACATATTTGCGGTTTACTACAACGAAATTGGGAGGTCAAGATCGAGCATGCTTTTTAAGAAGAAAATTGAACAGCAGACGACATGGCTAAATAAACGCGGATAGGAGATGGAAGGTCTTAAGTATGTACATCGTCGCCGGTGGGAATAATAGCTCTCCTTAAAAGGAAGGTAATAGATAGAATTATTGTTAAAGCTTAAGCTGTCATTTGTTAAAAAAAAAAAGATTAAATATTTACGAGATTCTCCTTGAAGCTAAAGAGAAAATATATATTACATAAAAAAAATTAATTATCACTTAAATTTTAAGGGTAAATTATAAATTTGGTAATTAAACTTTACTCTTTCTCATATTTCACTTATTGTACTTTAAATCCTTTCAATGCCCTCAGTGGACTTAATATATTAAGTTTTTCTTGTTACTTAGTCGTTTTCTCACTAATGACATTATAAATGACCTGTTATATAGATGCAAAACGACGTCATTTGGTGAAATTCTATTTTTTTTAAACGTCATTGTTTTAACGATGTTAACTATTTAATAACGGAGTGACAAAAAAAGCTCAATGTATTAAGTTCAGTGAGAAAACTAAAAACTTTTAAAGTTCAGTGAGTAAAATAGGAGTGAGACTAAAGTTTAGTGATGAAATTTGTAATTTACCTAATTTTAAATTGGTTTATAGATTATAAAATGTTGTAATCAAATACTTAAAAAGTAATAGTATCATATTAACTAGATTCATCTAGTAATTTAATTTTTATTTATTTATATGGAGTGATTATAAGATATTATAGGTTCGGAATTTTTATTAGTCATTGACAATGCACACACTCCCTACAAACACAATTGTTTGAACCCAAAACCTTTAGAAATAATAATACTATTTTTACCACATCACTTGATGAGTTCTACTAATTTAGTTGTTAATTTATACATTAAATAACAATTTAAATACGACTTTAACAAAATAGATTAAATGTAAATGCAGGTATAATTATTACATGGATAGTAAAAAAAATCTTGTTCAATGTATGACATCCAATTTATCTTACAATAAAATATACACAAATTTAAATCATGAACACTAAACTTTGAACTCTATTTTAAATCGAATATATTTCACATCAATAATAAACCCCAAACATTAATCAAATCTTGAACTTTCAATTCTAAATATAGTTCACGCCTTTAATTTCTAAACTTTTAACCTTAAACCTTAAATATGGTCCTATCATAAATTCTAAATCTTAAACTTTAAATATATTTTCTACCATGTTTAAACTGTCATTTAATGTTTAGACTAGTGTGAAGATTGATGTAATAATTCATTAATAAAATACTGATATTTTGAAAATTCAATTAAGACGTTTCGTAGTTTAAGACGAATAATTGGTGAGTTTCATCAGTTAGTGCCAAAAAGACAGAATTTGATAAAATAAACAAATAAATAAAGTCGACGTTTTTTCAAGTTCCTCACCTAACTTATAAATAGGGATGGATTGAGGAAGATCAGGTGGATAATCTTCCTTTAAAAATATAAAATTATTTTATAGAACTTTAAATGTTTGTCCCTTTCTTAATTTTTTTTTAGAACGTCATCCCTCTAATATAAGATTTTCGTCCGTCTATGCTTACAAATCATAAGTAACTGCCGGAGTTGGATTCAGTGCATTCTTGTTTCTCTTCAACCTGTCCCCTTCTCTTTAAAGATTTCAAATGCCCCATTTTCCGTTCCTGTTTTCTCCGTTACAAGCTATGGAGTAGCTGTTTGAAGGTTCTGCAAATAATGTTCTTCATGCTCCGCAAGTGAAGAGGTAAATCGTTTTTTATTTGTATTTCTCTGATTAATGTTGAATTTTCTTTTTCGGTTTCAAATGTTTAATAATTATGTAGATTCGTATTAAATTTGAAGACAAATCAGATCAGATTTTGGGTCGGAAAATAATTTATACAATTTAAAATTTTCTTAACTTCAATTGTCATACTTTTGAACAATAAAATGTCACTATATCATTTTAAATTCTAGTCTTCCTGTATTAAATTTGCGACATGAAGTTGTTGCGTGAAAATCTAATTTTCTCTATTAATTTCTGTTGAATTTTATTATTATTGATTTAACGACTACCAAAAAGAATTAATCTTTATGTCAATAGCAAAGGGGTAAATGGATTTTTTTTTTCAATTGTGTTTTCTCTTTGTTGATTTCAAGTTTCGCTTAGTGTTTTCTTTTTTGGTTTAAAATATTTGATAACCACACGAGTTTTGAATAAATTTGAAGTCAAATGAGATTAAATTTTGTGTAGGAGGAAAAAAAATATCTAACACTAACTAGTTTCCCCCCCTTTAATTGTTATAGTTCAAATAAATAATAGTATAATTGACTTTTATATATTTAGAGATAATTGTCATAATAATCTTTTAATTATATATTTTCCAATTATATATTGATTTTACCTAATAAAAATGATAATTATATATATGTGTATGTGGATCAGATGCGAACTTTTTACTTTAAAAGTCGGTCGAGTTTCTAATTGAATGAAATTTCCTTAAATTCGAATTAGATTGAATGACGGATAGAATGATGTTTTAATTATCTTTTTGCTCACTAATAGGCATAGGCATTTGACCTAAACATGACTGATTTCGATCATGTAGGACCAGTTCTTTTAAAAAGAAGTTGAGTCCAAGTCGAGTCTAATCTTTTTAAGGATAAAATTAAGTCAAATTCAGATTTAGGATGAAAAGTAATTGATTTGAAAATAATCGTATAATTTATCTTTATATATTTAGAGATAATTACTATAATATCCCTTTATCTATATATTTTCTCAATTATGTCCTGATTTTACTTAATAAAAATAAGAAATGTGTGTCGGCTCAAATATAATATTCTACTTTAAAAGACGGGTTGAGTTTTGGGTAAGATGAAACTTCCCTAAACTCGAATTGGATTAAGTGACTAATAGAAGAGCGTTATACTTGACTGGGATTCGGGTGGGCCAAAACTCAACCCATAACCATCCATGCTCAGTGATACAACTCCCTGAAATTTATTGTTTTTCAATGCGGGAAACTACTGATAATTTGTCATCGATTGAATGAATCAAGGAGACCATTATTATCATGTCGGATGATTTTGTAAAAGTTCAAAGGAGACCATTCACGGAGTTCTTAACTTGTCCCCTTTGCCAAAACCTTTTCAGAGAAGCAACTACTATATGTATCTGCCTCCATACATGTAAGTATTCCCGAATCGAGTCGGTTTTGGGTCGGATTAATTTGAATCGAATTCATTCCTTGACATTGACATTGTACCGTGTCCTACAGTTTGCAAACAATGCATCTACCGGAAACTCGAGGAGGAGAACCGAAATCATTGTCCAGCCTGCAATGCCGATCTCGGTTCCTTTCCTGAAAAAATGCTAAGGTAATTATATATCCTAAGAACACATTTGCTGTAAATTTTACATTGGTTATACACACACGCTAGCACACTAATGCAGTGCATATATCGACACCTTTTCGTTTACAGACACAACCATAACTTGCGGAAGCTCGTATCGCAAATTTCCCCCCTCGAAAAAACGAGTGAAGATTTCGGTATACCGACGGAAGGTGACATTCATTCTATTAACAAGAAACAGGTATCATTCTTCTCTAACATATTGTCTCTTGATGCTAAAACAGCTTTATGCATTTCATGGTATGTTGTGATACGTTTCAGGGTTTTTTTTGTGTATCAGAATGAATTAACAGATTTGGAAATGCCCGGAATTTATAATGTTATATCCGAACCTACGGCGTGTGCATTTTCTCTCGGAACTTACGAGACTAAGTTTGATGTACGAGTGAAGAGGAGGAGGACAATGAGAAAGCCCTGCAGATTGATTACAGGCAAAGGAGAGGACGATTTGAAGATTGACACCGTGAACGAGATGTCAAAACTCAATGCAACTGGTCTTGGGAAGACGGTCGATTCGACTAATCTGTGCGTCGAAACCATATATATAAATCGACATCCCTGTTATTCTCGACGCCCTGTCTGGTTTTACTTGCTTGCATCTCAAGAAAAGTAAGAATCATTTGAATGACTAAGACTTTTGATGCTTTTCTTGCTCTGAGTTACCAAGTTTTCCTCTGTTTCTTTAGGAAAGGCATGGCATTGCCTCAGATACCAAAACCCTTTATCCATACCAGGTAAGTTTAAACATTTTTCCGAACCCGAGTACTTAATGGGGATTCCGGATTTGAGTTAATGTATGTCTGCAATGATTCAGGAATGGAGATCTAGCGGTATGCTTTGTGAACAAGTACCTTGCAAGGAAGCTATACCTCGAACATGAATCCGAGGTAATGTCGTATGCATACTGATATACGATCTAGGCAAATCACTCAATTCCGTTTTCAAAAACTCAAGCATACGCTTTGAATGCAGGTAGAAGTCATGTGTTTCGGTCATCCATTGGTCCCAGACTTAACGCTAAACGACCTGGTCGAGATATGGCTAGAGGCCATATCATGTATGAAACCCGCGCGGGTGAGAGGCAAGAACCGCGACGGCAGAAACTTTTTGATGGAATTAACGTATAGAAGGTCGAACGAGCGGTGCACGTCGTCGTGAAGTTCGGATTCAAAGAAAATTATGGAACATTTCTCTTGGCGCTAGTGACCGGACATTTCCAAATCATATTTGTGTACTGTCTTCTGTTGTTGTTTTGGTTCACAAATCGGTGTCGACTGCTGAGTTCATTAGTTTTTGCCTATTGACATCAACTCAACGAGTTGGGTCATTTGTTTAAATTGCAAACTCAGTCTTCTAACAACAAAGGGGATTTATTATATAAATAAGTTTTTAAATCATTTTATTATTAACTCTTAAAATAAAATTAAAAAGGAATAAATATATATTTAGTCTACCCTTATTTTCTTCAGTATCAAAAAAATATAAAATAAAAAATTAGAAAATATTTCTTTAAAACAATATAGATTGCTTTTTTGAAATTTTTTGTTTTTTACTATTTATATATTTTTAATTTTTTGGTAGTTTTTTTAAATTTTTCAAAAAAATGATGTAAATTTGATAATTTAAAATTATCTTCCTTAGATATTTAAAAGTCTCTTATATTCTGTTTTGGTAATTTTTTTCTTGAATAATTGGATAATTAGGTGAAGGAAAATAACATTCATAACCTTTTGGTTTATTTATTGAGTTATTTTTTGAATAGTGATAAAAAAATTTCACAAATAAAATTATATTGATGTTATATAATTTTTTTATTTTTATTTTAATATAACTAAAAACACATGACAACTACATAATTATGTTTGTAAAATATTTTTTAAAAGTGTATGAAATAATTATAAGTATTTATTTTATTTTTTCCTTGTTAATTTTTAATAAATAAGAATTTATTTATTAAAAAATTCGGTAATACTCAATCTAAATTAATTAATCAATAAATCAAATATAGATAGTTATTAAAAAAATTAGTGTAATAAAATTGTGATTGATCTTTTTGAGTAGTTGGGCCATAAACAATCCATCTTTATGTTAGCCCCAAATCCACGCAATCAAGAAACCCTAAACCTAACCCTAAAAGAAGGCCCATTCAGCATAATAAACCCTAGCCACAGATCACTATATTCTGCTACACCTTAGGCCTTTTCTATCCTCGATTTTAGTGTTTGCAAGCTTCAGCCTGCATTTTATCTTCTTCTCGCCCCTTCCACATAAACCCTTAAAACAAACATGGCTTCCGCTGCTCAAATCAGCAAAAAGAGAAAGGTATTTTTTCAACCTTCCTTTCTTCTTCCTTCCTTTCATCTTTCTCCAACTTCGTTTTATTGAATTTTCATTATTTTCAGTTCGTCGCTGATGGAGTCTTCTTCGCGGAACTCAACGAGGTCTTGACCAGGGAACTGGCCGAGGATGGATACTCTGGAGTCGAAGTTAGAGTTACTCCCATGCGCACTGAGATCATCATCAGAGCAACTCGCACCCAAAATGTTCTCGGTATTTTTCTATATGAATCTTAATTTATGGTGATGTCAGATGTGGTTTTCCTTTTAAAACTGGTGTTTTTAATGTGTGATTAATTGGAGATTATAGGTGAAAAAGGAAGGAGGATCAGGGAGCTTACCTCTGTGGTTCAAAAGCGATTCAAGTTCCCTGAAAACAGTGTTGAGCTTTACGCCGAGAAGGTCAACAACAGAGGCCTCTGCGCCATTGCTCAGGCTGAGTCCCTTCGGTATAAGCTCCTTGGAGGTCTTGCTGTCCGAAGGTATATACTCGTAAGAGATTCGGTTTACAGATTTAATGCCTATTTATGGTGTATTTTTTTTGTCTGTAATATATGGAATGAATTTTGATGATTAGGGTTTGTTATATAACGTCATCTACAAAGCAGATTGGTATTTTGATACCACTTATTGTGTCGGAAGGTGACAACAGTAATTATATGGTATTCCCTATGGTTTGTTAATGCCTACTGAAATGCATTTCATATTCATGCAGTAACCTTAATACAGGGAACAGTGTCAAAAATTTTCTTATATTTGTAATTTCCCATTGTGATATGGATCGTATTTTGTATGAGTTTTTGATGTGTTTTTCAAATTGAATTCCTGTATTTGTTCGTGTTTTTGCTTAGTCGGTTTCTCATTGACCTTTTGTTTCAAGATTTTGTCATCTGCAAAGTAGATTTGTATTTCTCTACCAATTCTTGTGGCGGAAGGTGACAAAAGCAATTAGAAAATATTTCCTCTGTTTTGTTAATGCATGCTGAAATGCATTTCATTTTCACGCAGTTACCTTAGTGCAGGGAACAATGTTAAATTTTCTTAATTTTTTAATTTCCCATTGTGATATGGATTGAATTTTGAATGTGTATATTATGTGTTTTCAAAATGAATGCTTGCGTTTGTTTGTGTTTTTGTTTAGTACGTTTCTCCTTTACATTGTTATCTACAAAGCAAATAGGTTATTCTTATACCGACTTTGTGTCAGAAGATGACAAGATTGATCTAATGGTTTTCATACAGTAACATTGTGGAGGATACAATTTCACGGTTCTGTATTTCATATACGGCATCAATTTGTCGATTCTTATTTGTGTATTCAAAGTTGAATGTTGTGTGATGGTTTGTACAGGGCCTGCTATGGTGTGCTTAGATTCGTCATGGAGAGTGGTGCTAAGGGATGCGAGGTTTGTACTTGCAGTTGATGTCGGACATTATAGTATTCCCAGTTTTAGATTTTGGTTCTGCTTTGAACGTGCACCATCACTTTATTTTGCTACAGGTTATTGTCAGTGGGAAGCTAAGGGCGCAGCGAGCTAAATCTATGAAGTTCAAAGATGGATATATGATTTCGTCTGGTCATCCAGTCAATGAGTATATCGACTCTGCCGTCCGCCATGTTCTTTTGAGACAGGTTTGTCGTCTGTTTATTTACTCGACTATGCCCCCCTTTGATTGCCTTTCCTCATTCAATTCATCTGTGTTTCGAATACAGGGAGTGCTGGGTATTAAGGTGAAAATCATGCTTGACTGGGATCCCAAGGGTAAGCAAGGCCCTACAACTCCACTCCCGGATCTTGTCACAATCCATCCTCCTAAGGAGGATGAAGTTATCAAGATCGAACAACCGGTTATGCCGACTGAGATCGAACTTCCTCCGGTGGTGGCTTAAAGCCGACGACTGTTGTAAAACATCTAGTTGATTTTCGGAGTATGTTTTTGTCCTAAAATGACCTCTGCCGGATAGTTTGATGAATTTCAAATTTTGTTATACTAAGAATTTATTGCTTTATGATTTTATTGAAGGATTTCTTATTCTATGAGATTTATAGTTACCTTTTAGTGTCCGCTGATAATGATTAGTAATTCTTTTTTTTCTATATTATGATATTAACATGTTAATTGAACTAATATTAAATCGATTTTAAGGATAAATTTCAGAAGGTCAATCTAAATATATTTTAATTAATTCAAGGTGCATTATCAAATTGAGCACTTATCTTCTATATTTGTATAAAAATAAGTTTTGATATAAATAATGTACAATTAAATTTTGATATAAATAAAAATAAGTTTTAGTGACTAATGTTATAAATAAAATTAAGTTTTAGTGACAGCGTTATCGGTTCAAACGTTTTATTTTTTTTATTGAATTTTGAAATAAATTTTAAATCATTGGGATGTGACCTATTATATTTGTATAAAAATAAACGTTTATTGAATGTTGATAAAAATATAAGTCATTGGGATGTTACTTTCTATATTTGTATAAAAATAAATTCGGATATAAATAAAAATAACTTTTAGTCATTTGTTATCGTTTTACTAAACGTTTTATTGAAATTGTAATTTAAATTTTTAGTTTGGTTGTGTTTATCGTAATTGCGGTAATAATTAGTATTATTACGGTTATTACGAGTATCATAATCATATAATAACAATTTCAGATGATACCTTTATCGTCATAAAGTGGTCGCTGTTCCGATAGTCAACAACTATTTAAATCCCTGATAAAAGTGTACAAATTTATCGAAGGGATGCATGGATCTCATGTATGAATTGAGTTTTACGCAGCTACATTTTCAAAGGACAACACAACAGCGATAGTGGGATATTTGCTTAAAAAATAATGGTTCAGCCGATTCGGTTCACTCTTCTTCATCTTTTACCCCAAAGGTTTTGGACTCGAGTTGGAGTTTAACAAAGGCTAATGAAGGTCTGTTTTTTTTCCGCGATGCTCAATCAAGACCGGTTTTATATTCGTAAACCGAGTACTCATCGGTGGGAAATGGTTCCGAATCTAAAGCCTCGATTTTTCATGACAAAGATAGGCACGTCTATGCTCGGTTGAACCCTTTACTGTTCAAAATTATCCGACTCTGACTGCGTTTATGACGATTTAGATCTTGAATCGAATTTCAATTTCAATTGCAGATTACTCCAACCGGCAACCAGAGAGCCCGGCTCATGGAAATGGCAAACAAGAGTTTCAAAAACCAGAGCAGCAACTTGCTATCGAGCTTCAAGTACAAGAAAGGAAGCATCAACATGGGGTCTGGAGACGGGTGGAGAATATGAATGAACGGTTTGTTTATCGGTTTTCGAAGATGGAGATGAAGTTACACGGCTGCCGAGGTCGCGCCTTGGTGGAAACAGTGAAAGTCATTTTAGAGATTCAACCAGGACCATCGGTTATAGTTCGCTAGCCACATCGATTATACCACCGAAAATGACTCGAAATAAAAATCCTATTGAAAAATGAACAAATTTCATCTAGTTGTATCTATGTTTGTGCGCCTGCTACAGTGGACGCAACAATTTGCTGCAAACACTGCAGTGCAAGTCATGTAGGGGCAAAGCTCGGAAATGTGGTTAAGCCTTTATCAGAACAGAACCGATCTCAGTACGAAAAAAATGCAGGGGGCATAATACCAGACAAGTTGACCAGAACATGAAAATTCTACTCTCTCCTCCGCTAAACATACTCAACAGTTACAGTTGACGATGCATTTAAATTCGAAATAAGAAAACATTGTATCTAGCAATCTCAGAGTTCCAACACAAATGAGGCGATGGAACATGCATTATTGCATACAAATAAAA